ATCAAAACTACAATGAGGTATCACCTCACACCAGTCAGAACGGCCATCTTAAAAAAATCTACCAACGATAAATGCTGGAGAGGGTGTGGAGAAAAGGGAACCCTCTTGCACTGTTGGTAGGAATGTAAATTGATACAGCCACTATGGAGAATACTATGGAGGTTCCTTAAAGAAGTAAAACTAGAACTACCATATGACCCAGCAATCCCACTACTGGGCATATACACTGAGAAAACCATAATTCAAAATGAGTCAAGTACCACAATGTTCATTGCAGCACTATTTACAATAGCCAGGCCATGGAAGCAGCCTAAATGTCCATTGACAGAAGAATGCATAAAGAAGATGTGGCACATATATACAATGGAATATTACTCAGCCACAGAAAGAAAGGAAATTGAGTTATTTGTAGTGAGGCGGATGGACCTAGAGTGTGTCATACAGAGTGAAGTAAGTCAGAAAGAGAAAAACAAATACCATATGCTTACACACATACATGCAATCTAAAAAAAAAAAAAACAAAAGGTTCTGATGAACCTAGAGGCAGGACAGAAATAAAGACACAGGCGTATAGAATGGACTTGAGGACACAGGGAGTGGGAAGGGTAAGCCGGGACGAAGTGTGAGAGTAGCATTGACATATATACACTACGACATATAAAATAGATAGCTAGTGGGAAGCAGCCGCAGAGCACAGGGAGATCAGCTCAGTGTTTTGTGACCACCTAGAGAGGTAGGATAGGGAGGGTGGGAGGGAGATGCAAGAGTGAGGGAATATGGGGATATATGTATACATGTAGCTGATTCACTTTGTTATACAGCATAAACTAACACAACATTTTAAAGCAATTATACTCCAAGAAAGATGTTTTTAAAAAAAGAAATTAACAAATAGTGGTTCTAAGAGATTAAAGCAGAACAACAAAGTACTCATGACTGCTCTATGATCAAGTTCAGACTCGACCTTAAGTGAGCCTAACTCCAAATTCCATGCTCTTTTCTCTTCCTATCACCCCAATTCAAAGCAGTGTTTTTCACTAATAATGAAAATCTAAACAGGGTATAAACAATCATAAAATATGCCTTTCTCAAAATAAAAATAGCATGGGGGAATTCATAGTGTGCCAGAGTGACAATGCAGAGTGACCCCACTCTGTCCAGTGCTCTTTTCCCAAGTGCAGGGCATTCTATTACCCATGATGGCACAGTCACCGGCACTCTCAAATGTCTGCCCACAGGCGTGGACATGGTGATGCTGGGTGGAACAGCAGCCAGGTTTTCTGATACCATGTTGTACTAGCACAGCCTGCCTTCTAGTAATTCCTTTCTTGCCTGTTGTGGTTTCCTACACCAGAAACTAAGTAAGAGAGATTGGCTCTTCTGCCAGGGACCCAAAGGCCAGGGGAATAAGCCCTAAGGTGGTTCTCACAAGAGTCTGCACCTTCCAAGGGTGTGGAGGAAACAGAGATGAGAACTGGTCACTATCTCCCAGTTCACTTGTTATAAAGAAAATGTGTCATGAGATTTGGCATGTGCCCTGAGAGATGTGGTCACCCAGGACTGCTTGGGCTTGCTGGGGAGTGAAATCAGAACTTGCTGCTACTCAGTGATGACCTAAAGTTCTACCCAGCAAAAAAACCAAACAATTAGCAAGCCTGGCCAGAAAGACAGTCATTCAGTCCTTGGGTGGACTGAAGTCAGGCTCTGGGTTCTGTGCCTCTTCCTTCTCCAGCTCTGGCAAGGATGACCGAGGAGACTGCTGTGCTGAGGGTCCCCTTGAGGATGCCTGGCCACCAGCCTGACATCCGAAGCACAACTCTGGGGATGGTTCTATAAAACATATCATTTTGTTTGCTACAAGAACATCCTGGAAGAAACTGCTTGGTACTTTACATGTCCTCTGCTTGACAGTCCAACAGGAAATGTCTGTCGCTTTCTTTGGGCTTACCCTGAACAGCTAGTGACTTTTATCATTAGATCCTGTAAACAGATTACACACGGGTGGTAGAAAGTTCTTCAGAACTGAAATTGTAGATCACTTCCAGGCAAGCACCTAATAAGGCTTTTTAGAAAAGACATTTTGGAAGCAAATGGCATCAATGGCTTATGCTTCCTTGGCTTTTTTGGAATCACCTATTTAAAGAATTCCAACCATCTGAATTGTGTGTGTTTTTGAATATTACCTTAAATGATTTCTGGAGCATGGTGGGGATTTTACATAAAGAATCCCTCCCATGTACCATAATCGCTATAGAGTTACTTTTTAGAAGTTGCTAACAGTACTTTTTCAGACATTTCTCAACATTTGTCTCAGGTTAAAACAACATTTGTCTCAGGTTAAAACAACATTTGTCTCACGTGAACCCTAGTTTGTTCTTCATGTTCATGTTCCATCTTTTTAGGTAGGTCCAAAGTCTGAATAAAAATTTTAAAATATAATTTTAGTTGAAGACTGTATGGAATTTTTATATTTTTTCCAATGTTTGGTATCATAAGCCATATGACAATAGAAACCTTTGTGCATAAAGCTTAGTCCTTATTCCTAATTATTTCCTTAAGATGGACATTACGTAGAAATTACTGGGTCAAAGTATATCACTGCTTTTATAAAGCTTGGCAGGAGTGACCCAAGTGCTAAACAGAAAGGCTGTACCTCTGGACGCTCAGTGACAGGGTGGGACCTGGACGGGGCTGTGTGTGTGATCCGTCCTATCACCAGTTAATTCCTATTGCCATTTTGCTGTCTTTGCTAAATCAGTAGATTAAAATGCTATCAAATTACAGCTATAGCTCCATCATATTAAAATTCCTAACACTTTCAAATGGAACTATTTCCACTTTCCAAATGTTTTATAAGACTGAAAAAGAAAATTGGTCATCAACTTTGCAACTCATTAGCAGCAGGCTTCCTCTACATAAACAAGGACAAATTACTGCTGACAAGTTGCTCTGGGTCTCACCATCTTCGGCATGACACTAACAAAGGTAAGACAAAGGCCATTATATGTCTAATAATGTTGCATCCCTCCAATTTTCAAATGTGGTGGATTAAACAAGGAAATTGCTCATACCTGAACTCAAATTCCTGCTGCCCCCCTCTCTAGCTGTGTGACCTTGGGCTGATTACCAAACAACTCTGAGCCTCAAGCTGTTTGTTGGTTAATGGAAATGGTGTCCCCTAGCTGGCTGGGCTGTCTGAGGACTGAAGGGCTGTCTGTGTTTGTGAAGTTGCCTGGTACACAGGCACTCATTAAGAGGCCCCTCTGCTGCCTCTTCCCCTTCTAGACCAGGGGTTTATCTCACCATCCTGTCCAAGCAATTGTGCATGGGATGAAGCATCCCATTGTCTTAGGCGATGGACCTAACTGATCTCTGCAGGATAGGAACCAGGTGTGAATCAAGGGCAATAATCCATGGGGATCAGGGGTATTTTTATTCTATGAACGGAACACAGAACGGTAGGCCCACACAGTGCCCCCACTGTGGGGACCCCTGGCATCCTCCAGGATGTGGAACTCATCTCCATACCTGCTCTCTGCTCACAGGGCTGAACAAAGTGCTCTTGATTTCATTGCCCAGGCATCCTTTTCCATAGAATGATGGCAAAGGACTAACTGCTGACCCTTAAGATATTTCTCAGCTTTTCACATACTCTCTGCATGGAGAAGGCACTGTCTCAGACACTGATGTGATGTTCACAACTCGTCTCCCTCTATGGGTGAAACACCTCCCAGATCAATGTAGGGAAAAGGGAAGAGTGAGGACTGGAACAAAATGCCAAGGCGTGTGCAGAGATCACTGATCAGAATCCTTATTGGGTTGTTACAAATCGAGACCTGTTGTCAAATAGGTTTGGGACACAATGTGCCCAAGCATTCCTCAAAATTATGTTAGGACATGCAGCCTCTGAAGATGACTGTATCAATATTATTTTCCACTATGATTATTCTTTTAAATATAAAGTTTATTGTGAAGAATTGTAACTAAGATAGAGAAATTCCAATAACAGCTACATAAATGCATGTGCTTTTTTTTTTTTTAACTTTAGTGCCTTTTTTCTTTCTTTTTTGTTAATTTAAAAAATATTTTCTAAAGTCTACTTAGGCCCACCATGGAACCTGAAAAGCTATAAAGGAGTCTCTCTGACTGGTCAATTTATTGATTTACTCAGATGCAATGAATAATTCAGAATTTTTTTAAAAATGACTAATGATCATTTTAAATGAGAAATACTAAATTTTAACCTCAGCATTTGAAATGTTATCAAACCATACAAGAAACAGACTTTTAAAAAGTCAAAAGCGTTGCACAATTGCAACAAAAAAGCATTCTCCTTAGATTTTTAAAATAAAATTTCTTTTAAAATAAAATTTCCCTAACTTACATTATCTGGGTCACTCTTCCAAAGATGCCCTTGATCTGTACTTCCCTGGTGGTGCAGTGGTTAAGAATCCGCCTGCCAATGCAGGGGACAGGGGTTTGATTCCTGGTCCAGGAAGATCCCACATGCTGCAGGGCAACTAAGCTGGTGGGCCAGAACTACTGAGCCCTCTCTCTAGAGCCCGTGAGCTGCAACTGCTGAGCCTGCACGCTTCATCTACTGATCCTGCATGCTACAACTACTGAAGCCCAAGTGCCTAGAGCCTGGGCTCTGCAACAAGAGAGGCCACAACAACGAGAAGCCTGTGCACCACAACGAAGAGTAGCCCCACTCATGGCAACTAGAGAAAGCCCACATGCAGCAACAAAGACCCAGCGCAGCCAGAAAAAAAAAAACAACAAAGATGCCCTTGATCTTCAATCAAAAAACAAATATAGATAAATACTATGAACCCATAGCAGTCCAAAGAAATAAGCTACATGGACATCAGTATAGGTAGGTCAAAAGGAAAAAATACCCATCACACACACGACAGAATCCTCAAACCAGCCCATCTCCTCTCGGCCCCACCCACCCCCACCCTTGCCCGGCAGCCCAGGGCACGACTCAGCACGCTCACCGCATGGTGTAGAGCAGAGTGCCATCATCCTCCAGCCGCAGCAGCTTGTTGGGCGTGGTCATGTTGTGGGCGATGGACTTCTTCCCATTGTGGAAGAAGGTGTCTGGAGTCCAGATTTTGCTGGCAAGGAGGTTGTTGAGAGGCAGGCGCTGCATGGGCCCTTTAAACCGAAGCCTTTCGTCTTTCCAGCTTTGTCGGAAAAACACATCTATGGTGTATTCCTAGTGCAAAGGGAGGCAACCAGGTGACAACTCAAGGAGAGGAGGCCCTGGGCCAGTGCCTTCAGGGTTTAGAGTGGTCTGGGTGGGGCCGCGCCTCGCACCTACCATTTCCGTGTCAGACACCGGGCCGAAGCTGGTGACGTAGATGTCCGTTCTCACCTGAGTGATACGCTCTGAAACACAGACACAGGTTCCTCACCAGGGCCCCAGCTCACAATTCAGAGGGACATAACTCAGGGTGGAGTAAAACGGTGTCAAGGAGCCTATGTGGACTTGTCTTGCCAAAAAGGCAGAGAATGTCGAATCGTGCTTTAAGTAAATGTCCCTGCTAAAAATGCAAATAATGGAGGACTAAACATATTCTTCTGGGAATGTATTTGCTAGAAGGTCCCTCCTTACCTAATGGAGCAGGTTCAAATGTACCACATCTAAATCGGTTAGAGCCAAGGGCACCACACATGCCTGAAACGGCACATGATTCTCAGCACAAAATTAAGCCAGTTGTATCCTGAAAGCATATTTTACTATCCATTTAGTTTTATCAACTTTATAGTAAAAACTGTGATTATGGCTCTAGTGAAAAATTAAACCTGTAACATGCCATGGTGTGATGAGCACTTGCACTGAATAGTGGATTTCTGAAAAGGACTCGCATAGATGGGAGGGTATGACATTGATTTTAAAGTATTTCCTAACATAGGGTAACCTCCGCTTCAGTAACACCTAAGAAGTGGTTCCTCCTTAAGTGGACCAGAATGGCCTTACCATTATCTGGGGAGAAAAGGGAGTTTGCAGGGAGACCACTTCCCTTGGCTTCTTGCATCTGGAAAATGATAATATGCAGAAGCCTTAGCAACACCACCAATTCAAACTCCTAGCAGGGAAGCTCTTTGAGGAATTGTTTGAACCACAGGAAACATGTGCTTGGTTTAAGCAAAAATTTCCCTTGGGCCTCGAGGGCCTCAGCCAAGGAGCATACACCAACCTCCGAGCCCAGGCCTCAGTCTGTTGTCGTAGCCATCCAGGAGCCCATCCAAGATCCTGGTGAATATTGTGATGTTGTCATTGGTTTCATCTTTTACAGAACTGGTTGGCATTTGTGAAAAGCTTTTTAATGGAGAAACAAAAGAAAGAGTTCAAACTTGTATTAATTATTTCTTACAAATTATTCTCAAAGTATAGAAACCAGGGAATAATATGGTGACTTGTCTTGAAGGGAGGGCATCTGAGAATGATCTCTTGTACTACCCAGGTTATTGTTTTGCATACATAAGCCTTATTCTTGAATATCTTGAATAACCCTAATTCTTGAATAGCCAGCCAGAGAATGCTGGCTCTGGGCTGGTCGCCCATCAACCTTATATGATGCTCAAAATCCATCCCTCCCAGATTCTGAAGAGCTGTTTGTGTCAATAGTGTAGCCATTTTAAAGACATATTAGTCACTGCACATGGACTAGCAGAGCCTAACCCACTCACAGGGTATTTCAGAAGTTTGGTTTAAACACAGAAAAACTGAGTCTTCATTTTGTTAGTGAGTCAACTGCAATGGGCTATGGGGTGTCGGGGGGACATTAAAAACTTTATCCAATTTGAAAGTAAGATTGGTGTGCTCAAATTTCCCTGTATCCTTAATTGGGAGCATTTGTGCTATGAGCATTAAGCAAGGACTGGAGCATATGGTGAAGGGACGACAGAGTCTGTGGGCTTCTGTACCATCAGCACTGCCAGCTGCCAGCACACTCGGCTCCAGCCAAAGCACAGGATGCAGGGAGCAGGAATTGTGAAGCCCAGGCTGAAAACCCTGGCTTTACGTGATGTCGCCTCAGAGCAGAGCCTCAGGGAGCACAGTGTTCTGTGTGACCCAACATGTCAACTTACGATAAAACCCTGAGAAGACGGGCAGAACCTTCTAGGAGGCTCACAGGAAGAACAGTCTAGTTTGTACAATTCAGTGAAGTTATCCAGGCCTCAAAAGTGTATGTTGATGGAGCAGCTGGAAATGAGAAATGGCCCTGAGCATATTTGGGCAAACCGAGGAAGTTATCTGGAGGGAAAGAAAGTCACAAGTCTAGAAGATGGTAACACACCTGAACATCATGGGTTCCACCTCAGGCATCCATTGCTGCTTTTTCAGAAGTGCAAATAGCAAGATATGTGTTATTACCAAGAACCTGACCTGCACATCTGGCTTGGCTTCAAGGGGAACTCAACCCAGCTGAGAGCCAGCTGTGGTCCCGAGAAGTCAGCACCCTTGGTACTTGGGAGAAGAACAGAGGGCTCCTGGGACCTCCCTGTAGTGCCTGATTGTGGGGCCCCACTGTGCTCATGCGCTTTCTCTTCCGTGAAGTGGCTGGAATGGATGCTGAGCTCTGCCATCAGCAGGTGGATCTGAGGGCAGCACTGATGTGTACCTTCCCCACCCACTTCTCAAAAATTGGTCATTTTCACTGACTGCATCTAAACAGATCAACTCTCTAATGGCCTAAAGTGACTCCCTTTTGAATGAGACACTATAAAGTTCTTTGGATCTAATTTTCCCATCACCATTAAAATGCATATTGTTGAAGCTCTAACAACCTAAAATTCAGTCCTGTTAGTATGGAGCCCACAGACACATACTTTTTTTACTCTGTGACTTAGTATTTAAAAATACTGATTTCCCTTTTCTCTGACATCTATTGTAGTTTCACACTTTAGAAACACAAAGCACTCAGCTTTGAAGACCTAATGTCAGGACGAAGGGGTTTAACACTGTCCTTCAAGTTTATGAAAGAAAGCCTGTGCACACGCCCAGCTGAACAACTATTGCTCAAACTAAATCTGACCTCAATGTCCACTTCACATGGTGCTCATAACTCTCACCAGTTTGGTTATTCAATTCTGGGCTTGGTCCAAGTGTCCAATTTTTGGAAGGTCCCCATTGGCTCTTTAACTTAGAAGAGAGATGAAAGCATGTACACTAGTAGAAAAGGCTTATCACTTGTATGTGGAATCTAAAAAAGCCAACTCGTAGAAACAGAGTAGAATGGTGGTAACCAGGGGCTGGGGGTGATGGAATTGGGGAGGTGTTATTTAAGGTTACAAACCTGAAACTAGAAGGTAAATAAGTTCTGGGGATCTAATGCACAGCATAGTAGTTATACTTAACAATACTGTGTTATAAACTTCAAAGTTACTAAGAGGCTAGATCTTAAGTGCTTCCACTTAAGGAAATGATAATTATGTGACATGATAGAGGTGTCAGCTAATGCTAAGGTGGTGATCATATTACAATATATAAATGTATCAAATCAACACACCCTAAACGTACACAATGTTATATATCAATTATATCTCAATAAAAAATGTAAAGTCACAATGAGAAAAAAGAAAAGAAAAAGCATACTTTAATGTTTCAAGAACATTTTTAAAAACTATTACATCTGTTGTGAAAATGTTCTTAAATTATATTTGCTTTGAATAGCCTTGACTGCCCAGAGATAGAGACCATGGAGATGCCCACAGACCATGCAGTCCCAGTGCCTGTCTCCAGGAGAACTGCCTCCCGGACACTCTGGTACACTGCTCCACCACTGACTCAGACAAACACCATTCCACATGGCTCTGAATCCTGCTTCACAAATAGCCAAATCATTGCCAAAAGCAATGGGATAGCATGCAATGTCTAAGACTTCCAAAGCTCTTCTTCCACTTTTTGGCCAAAATTTTAAAAAAGAGTTCAAATATATCTACACCCATTTACACATAATTACACTTTTCTTGCAGGAATTTCAACATCTGCCATCTTTTGCTGTAACTGCTTCTTCTATTTATCTGTGGACTTTTTTTTTTTTTAAGAGAGGCCGTGGCTGGGGATTTGCAGTGATTTCTTCTCTATTTTTACTGAAGGTAGGCCCTAGGAGGTAGGAAACGGTTTCTAAAAAAGTCCTAAAAATGCCTGTCGGGGCAGGAGTAGAGGTTCCTCTCATGAACAACTGGGAAGTCCTCCTCAGTCCATAGATCCTCCTCAAAAACCATTCATCTGCAGCTCATTGTTACAAAATGCACTGTCTTCACTGCTACGGAGAGGAAGGCCCTTCCCTTACCACTGAAAGCAAATGACGTGCCAGCATACAGGAGACTCTCAGAGAGGTCTGGTGAACTTGCTCATGCATATCAAGTTGTATAATCTTTACAGACTGCTTCTAATATACAGAGTGACTTCAGCTTGCTTTGTTCCATTTGAGCTAGGAAAACAAAATAACACACAAAGAGTGGGCTGTGCCTTCGGTGAGCAATTCCACGCAGTGAGCAAATCCACGAGTCCTCCAGGTGGAAACACAAGATGCCCTCAGACCTCTAAGGTACAGAAAGCAGGCTCCAGCTTGCATCTTCACTGTTCTGAGTAAAACCAAAGAGCTCTGCTGGCCCTCAGGTAAGCTGTGAGTACACAGCTGCTTCCAGGATAAGCTGAAGGCTCTGATCTCAGGGGGAGCAGATTTTGTGAGCTGAGACTAGATCCGTTATTTCTGAGAACGACCTTAGATAAAGTAGAAGTGCTTGAAAAATTTGGTGATTTCCCCTTCAGTATCAGGATTAATGAACTAGGTTCTCTGAAAATAGGAACTATTTCCTTATAGTTACTGCCAGTTTTCTACAAACACATTTAGTTTATGAAACAGTTGCAATATTTTCAGATTGATGTTCCAGAAGAAGGATCATAAAGGAAATGTAGACCTAACCACGCATGTTAAAACATCCTCATTTTTTATATCTTCCTACTCAGGTACAGGCCTATACAAAAGGCACAAGGACTCGATCCCTAAGCTTGAACTCTGAGCCCCATATTCCAGACTGAGGAAGGAAGGTGGTGGTTGTGACATGGGCAGTGATATGCGTGGAACAAGATGCTCAGGGGGTGGAAGGGCTTCCTAAAACGCTATGAGTGGCCCCTGCCAGGCTTGAGGTCCTGGGTCTTTCAGAGATTTCTGATGAGGTGGAGTGGGGAACAGATAGCCATGAAACGTGGTCCACTAATGGGTTTATTTCACCAGCAGAGTTTTGAGAACAATAAATGTAAATGACTTTAGAAAGGGTCAACTCTAGCAATTGTGCAAATTTCCCACCTGTCCCCGTGGTCTTACATCTGGTCTCTTCAAGGCGTTTGATTCTGTGACTTCTGCATTAGCCTCTTCCGGGTTTCTAGGCCCTAGAGACTCGGCTTTAATTCACCCAGGAGGAATGAGCACTCGTATTTTATAATGTCCCCAAGTGATCTTCATGTGCAGCCATGGGGGGAGAGGTACTGTTCTAAGCCTGTCTAGATTGGAAACAGAAAGGTGAGCCAACTGCCAGAGTGACTCCAAATGACCCCAGAGAGTGTCTCTTCTCTGTCACGTCTTCAGAGAGGCTTTCGGGTTGGGCCCAGTGCTTATCCCAGCAGCTCAGCTCAACAAAGGTATTGTGGACATCAGCCATGTGTTGGTATTGCGGTGAGGACTGGTGGTGTCAATGAGAAAGGTGGCATCCCCAACCTAGGGAACATGACTGTATCTAAAAGAATAGGCCATGTTCCCAGAGAATTTCTGTAGAACATGGTTGGTGCAGGAATCTTTGCAATATGCAGGGCATTCTATGTACCCAAAGGGGAGGGATCAAGCTTTGTATGGGGTCAGAGGAGAGGAAAGCAGACCTAAGCTTTCAAGCATGAAGATCAGGTCTCAAGCTAAAGGAAGGGGTTGTGAGCAGTGGCACTAAAAATTGGGAGATTGGTATTGACATATACACATTATTATATATAAAACAGATAACCAATAAGGACCTACTGTATAGAACAGGGAACTCTACTCAATACTCTCATTATAGTAATGAGTATACTACTACTACTCATTACTAATGAGTATACTAATACTGCTCATTATAGTAATGAACTATATGGGAAAAGAATCTAAAAGAGTGGATATATGTATATTTATAACTGATTCACTTTGTTGTACAGCAGAAACTAACACAACATTGTAAATCAACTATACTCCAATAAAAATTTTAAAAAAGAAAAGAAATACTGATATTTGCAGAGGGTACGTTGAACTCTGGTGAGAAGAGCCACGTGTGTGGCTCAAATCA